TATGAAAGCAAATCAACGAGGAAAGGTTTTCAGTATTTCAGAGGTAAGTCTACCCGATTTAAAAAAAAGAGAAGAACAAACTAAATTTTTAGCATAAAAAATAAATACAAACTGAGCATTTTCAAAACAGTCTAGTCTCTAAAATGAGTACTTCATTATTTTTTAAGGTTAAAATATATAACAAGAAGAGAAAACAAAAACTCTTCATTGCATAAGTGTTTAAATGGTTTGAAACAAAAAAAAATTGTTTTAGAATGAAAACATGCATAATTACATGTATATTCTACCTGATTGGATTTTCTTCTTTCTTCTATCAATTTCATTGTAGTATCCTTAAAAAACTGTTCAGCTTGAGAGTCTATTAGACCAATGTTCAATGTTCTAAATACCCAAGGAAATAAAACTGAAAGGATAATATATTTTTCAGTTTTACATATTATATTTTGATCATTTATACAAGTCCACCATATCCATTGCTAGCGACACATTTTGCTCAATGCAGTTGTTTGTTTTAAATTGGAAAATAATTTTTTATTAAAAATAGTAACCCAATTTCAAATGATAATATGTGATTTTTTATTCTACATATCTTAACCTTGATAAAGGTTGTTGATTGGTTAATGATTTGTTTACTGTTAAATCATTAGCAAGATGAGCACCACACTTATTAGGTTTATTTGACTATATTATATGTGTTCTTTTCTAAATCTAGTGATTTTACATGCGAGTAAAATATGCATTAAAAGAGATGTTTTTATTTTTTTTCTATTACTTTAAAAAAGAAACTTTAAAGTAATAAGGGATTTTTCATACAGTGACATAAAATAACAGCCTTCCTCTTTAAAAGTCCCAAAAGACTGAACAAAAAAATGTAGTTTTGAATGATATAATAGACTTAATACTAATGTCTTATGATAAGTATAATTGATGGTAAAATTGTTGGCAAATATTCTAACAGCTTGGTGGAGAATATCTCTTGAAATAGAAATGAACTTGAGGAGGAGTTGGTGGACGAGAAAGCATAAAAAAAGAACTGGCTTGATGATCATTGAATGATATAGCTACCTTTCTGTCAGTTCTTAAAAAATTGCTATTAAAAGCACAATATGTTTTACGTTATAAAATTAAGTGCATTCCTGTGATACAATATTTCACCATAAAGAATCAGAAACATCATTTAAGAATATTTGTTTAGTATTTTGATAATGCCATTATGAAAAATATGTACATGTATTGTCTGAACAGTTTCTCTTTTTGCCCTTGTGGCTTAACATTTTAATTGAAAAAAATACTAAATCAGTCAGTAACAAAGTTCAATAATCAGTACCTGTAGATGTACACATGTTGAGCTTTCAATGAAGGGGAAACTAGGCAAATTAATCTATCACAATTGAAGAAAAATATTTTCTCTACTACCTACCCCATGAATAGTTTAATTACAAATAAATTTGAGAGAAAGTTTGAAATACAAATATATTTTAAATAAATTACATTTAAACAAAATTTCTGGTGGCATGCAAGTCTCATAGGCAGATGCACAATTGATCAAGTTAATTTGTGTGAAGAGGACAGGTATCATCTCAGAAACATGTAGTAAGTTCCCCCCAAATAAATCACAAACATGTAGTATGTTCCCCCCAAAATAAATCACTTTATTATGCCTATATACCATTGTTTTTCCAACTTGTTATTATTATTATTATATGGTTATTTACTTACAATCTGATTAGGATGTGTGAAAATACTATGTTTTCATTAAGCATATATTCAGGATCTTATGGTTGTATTAGTAAATTAATTTGTAAGAGTTTTATTTTAAATTACTAAATTAATCATAGGTTTTTGGAAATGAGGGATTTCCACTGAAACTCGTAATATATATATTGTTATATATTAAAGAAAACTGTCACTTACTAAACAACAAAAATCTCCAAGATCCACTAAAAAACTTCTTGCCATTCAAAACAAATTGATTGTTTGGGTCATCAAGGGAACTTATTTTAATACCAAAGGCACATTGTGCTATAATGTCCATGGTTAAGCTTTCAAAATACCTAAGTATACAAAAAGAAAAGTGATTTTAGCATGAAATGTCCTGCCTCAAATAAGTTCATTTATCACCAAAAATTCCTTTTATGATAAGAAGAAAAAAAAATCTAACTAAATTTATTTTTAAGGTCTATAAAGTAAAAGCATGAGATTTTCAAGAAAATCTTATTACCACAGATTTAAATTTCTTTGATCTTGTATGAAACATAGGTATAATTTTCCATCTATTGAAATTATTTCTGGTCAATATTATTTCTTTTCAAAAGCAATTCTAGCTCTATTGAAAACAAATAACAAGAGAGAATCCTCAAGAGCCGAAGGTCTTCAAATTGTTTTAGGCAGGATTAGAGTAAATTAATCTATGATACCTTGGGATGTGGTCAAATACATCAATTAAAAGAATTTGAACTCCTGAGTCCAAAACTGTAATTAGATCTCAAATCGATCAAGAGATGATGGAGCTATGAGTTTCCACTTGAAAAACAACAAAAAAACTCTGAGCCATTTTATGAGCCACTATGCTGCAGCTAATAATAGAAAAATGTAAGTCTAACTTTAAATTAAACCCCACTATTCATTTTTAACCTACTTACTTAAATATAAACTCATCACAATTTTCTCTTGATAGTACAGAAGATTCTCGAAAGAGCCTCTTCTTTCAAAATTCATTCAACACCCTTTAAGAAACAGGTCTGACTTGATTTTCTGTTAAGAGAAAAATCTTCCTAAACATTTCCATGTGTATTGTGAAATGAAAAAAGTGGTATTAGTTTTTTTCTTTAACACTGTTTTAGGGTACAGCATACTTCCAGCCAAGATGTGTTGATGAGAAATCAGAATTATCACCCATTTTCTTCTATTAACCATAAAATCATAACTGAACATTCTTATAGACTTCAAATTTTCGGCCCCGAATTTTTCAGTAATATTTTACTTATGAAGAGTTAGAAGCCTATATCGTTAACCAGTCAGATGACGCAGATAAAAATATTTTATTAAAAATCTGTTTTCACCTTGTAACTTCATTGGCAAACATACAAGACCTTTTTTACTATAAACAATTATACTTTCCTGAAGCTTCATTATTTTGGCTGGAAAGCTAGTCTAATGAAAATGTATGTGAAAAATACACTGGATCGTATTTCAAGATAACCTACTACTTAATAAACTACGAGATGACTATGAATAGTGAACTTGGGATTAATCTGAGCAGTGTCATGACACTGGAGATTCCCTCATTATGTACCCAAGTTAAAGGCTGACATTATCTTGTTGTCAAGAAGTATGGAATATTTATACTGTGGTACACATTTTGTGAATTGTGTATCATTTAAGTACCATATATATATATATATATATATATTAGTTTCATCAAGTTTTATAATATCAAGCTTATGACCGACTTAGGAGTGACATATAAGAGGCTTGGCAAGGCTTAACCTCACATGTTCTTCACCAGGCATTATTTTCATTAATTCAAAAATAATTTAAAGTATACATGGAGAGAGTGAAAGAGGGTGTATGTGTGTCAACTAAAAGTACTTATTTATTTACAAACACAAACTGATTCTTCTGTACAAACAAAAGATTCACGAGATGCCTATGCATATACATATATTTAGTGTTCTTTGTGAATAGGTGCATTTCTTCCTTTGATTACAATAAATGAAACTATAATAACTTTCCTGAAATATTTATACTGAACTAAGGGAACGTACTTTATGTATATAGAATTGTTAACATTTCGAAGCAGAAGGATTTTGTTCCAGTTTGTTTGATGGTTGCTTTTGTTAGCTTGGTGTTTGCTTCTTGCAGTAACTGTTTAGTTACGTACATGTATATACTTACAAGTTTTGATAAAGTTTATGAAGTGGATGGTTTGTGCTAAAACACAAAATGATTTGATATTACTTATTGAAACTACTCTTACATAACAATGAAAATTCATGTTTCAAAGGCTCACAGGAAAAAAAAATTACTACCACAATTTGTGTTTACAACATAACTTCTAAAAAATTAAATAAGATCTTTTCCTCAAAGGATGTTGAACAAAATCTGAAAACCCAGCTTACACTTCCTACATTATGAAAAAACAGCACAGCAAATAACAACACAGTCTGTTTATATTTCACAGTATTCAACACGTAGAAGTATATGGTCATCAGAGTTAACTGTGATTTTTTCCAAACAAGTAATCTTGCAATGAAATGCTTTTAGAGATGTATAAGAAAGTTAGTGAAACTAAATAAGATAACATTTTCTAATATTAGGTCAGCAGTACTAACAACATACAAGACCTGTTTAACATGCTTTATACACTACCTACAGACACTGTATTTTTTACATTTTTAGAATTAAAATGAAATTTCAAACTGAAATACTAAAAGCCTTTTCTTGTTGAGTTGCTTTCATTCTGTCAACAACCATGCGAGTTGAAGTTCTGATTGTTCTTGATACGATGCAAAAAAAATAATTTTCAACTTTCTAACCTTCCAGGTGACTTACTGTTTATGTATCAGGAGAACATACATAAAACCTGCTTTCCTACCTAACCAAATTTCTTTGTTTGCAGTGTGACAATATAATATATTCATTCCAGTTGTGAAAAAGTGGGTGGGAATGCATTTCAGAAGGAAAATATATGTATGAAATTCATTTTAGTTCTAAAAAATTTAAATCAAAATCACATAGACTTGCCTCTGAAATACTAAAAACTAAAATACCCACATTGAACAGGAAAAGTGAAACAAAGACTGTCATAAGGAACACTGGTTCCCCAACAGTAAGTCTCTTAGGCAGGAAGGTACATTCCTAGACCATGATAAATGAATTAAGTGGTCAAGTAGATCTAGTTTGAGTAGAATCTAGAACCAGAGAAAGGTCAATGAACTGGATTCAAGAGAGAACTGAGTGGGGTGGCCCATCCTCTAGGAGGTCAGACAGTAATAATAAAAGCTGTAGAACCATGCTCATTCTCAGGTGCGGTAACAGGTAATGATATGTCACGTAAGCAGCGGGAAAGTGCAAAGCATTGTCCTGAGAAGATTCTCAGAGGAACAAATCATTAATAATTAAAAATTGCACGTGCTCTTGGATCTAAGGCCATTCCCTCATGCTAATCTACTAATCCAGGGAGAACTGAAAAGAACTAGATAAGTTTCACAATCTAGGAAAGTGCAATAGGAACACCAGTTAAAGTTAAAAAGAAACAAAAAGTAAAATGAAAGATATAAGGTGATATCCTATCCTAGTAGGAGCTAAGAGACGTCATATGGAAAATGGGCATCTCATACTGAAGTTTCAAATTCTACACAAGGACATGCAAGCAGAGCTGAGAAAGATTCCTGTCAAGGCATCACCATCAGCCACCAAATGACATCCTCTGTCCAATTCCAGAAGGCATCACCCTCTCATGGAGTTCCAGCACAGAGGATGGAATTTTGGACAAACACAGATATAAATGTGCCATGCTAGAGTTCTGACTGGATAAATCAATACACGGAGTCTCATATTATAAGGAAAGAGACTGTGCATTTTTTTTTCTTCTCTTGTTGTTTTATAATCAAATAATTTCTCAACCTCAAACAACCTAGGAATTGTTAACAGCCATTTAGCAATGCAGAAATATCTGGGCCCCAAGTGGTAATTAAAAAGATAATAGAGAATAATTCGTTTGTTAAGGATTCCATCTGGCTTGAAGAACCACATTCAGAGACAAATGGAATCCTGAAGCTGAAAAGACAGCAATATAATGTAAATAAAATTTCAAGAAAATATTCAGATTTATCCACATGCTGACTGCAAGATATTTATTAAAGGGTACTGGCAAATTTATTGAAAATTAACCCAAAATTCACTTTTAAGGTGTTTAAGAATATCCCAGTAAACAAGACGGATAAATTGCACAAGCCAGTTTGTAGATGTAACCAGAGAAAGATCTGATGAATGTGATTCGCATATGTATTAACATGTAGCTGATACCTAAAAGCATCATCTAGCAATGACCCCAATAACTGAAGATAATGGAAAACAAATATTCAATAATTGAATCATTTAATCAGCACCTTAAGGCATAGCAGAATTAGTTCAAGACTTGAAATAAAATATATCCAAGAAAATCTGAAATCAGATCATCAGAATCTTCTTTGGAAATAGAGCTATCTGAAAAATCCTGCTCTTCACAGAATGAAGATGAATGGATATAAACAAAAGATGTTCTGCCACTGAGTATTATGAACCTAAATATCTTGGCCATCAATAAAGTCAAGGAATCTTCTTGCACACTAAAGACAGACTACATGGTTAAGCTTAGCCTCCAAAATACTTATAAAATTTCTGATATTGCTAGAAATATTATCAACATTAGTTAACATTAACTTCAGAATTCATACCAAGCAAAGTTAACAGTATGACATTCAACAAGAAAATATGACTTATGGTGAACATACATTCTCCTGACACATGCAAAATAAATGATATGGAAATTAAGAGAATGGAAAATAGTGCATAAACTCTGCATTGTGTCAAGAGCATTCAAAACATGAAGTCATATGATTGAATAAATAGAGTTGTTTAAACATTTGTTTAACAACAAGTAAAAGCTTGGAATGGTCTATTCTTTCACTGGGG